AGTTCATTTTAAAATGAAATAAAGGCTTTTTAAACATTTTTTTGAATAAGATTCGAGTGCCTTGGACTACCATTATTCTTACGAGTAAAATAAAATATGGTTTAATTGCAATGTTTAGCCACTATAAAGTCCAAGTATGGATATGACTGAATCCCTTGCCAGCAGATTTTATGGTAAACTAGCCATATACAGTGTGGAAACAATAGTTCGTATATTTGACAACAACAGAGATGAGGCAGCCAGAGCCGGTATGACTGATAACTAGGTCATGACTCGTTAGCAATGCATGAAGTATGACCCAGCAATGCAATCCCTGTAAATTCAAAAACAGTTAATATAAAAATAAGTTAATTTTAATGAACTATAAAAAAAAAGTCTACATAGTTGAAAGCAGATAGGGAATTATACTTTGGAATTTCAGCTTAGTACACATTCAGTTTAAATTAAAAAAATTCATTTCACCATAAGTTTAATCGCAACAAACTTTATGACAGGGTGTAAAGGGGTTCAAATATTACTGAAGTTTTCTAAGGCTTATTTTGTCAATGCATCGCCTCGGTATTCAAATCCATCTAGTATAAGTGTTTCACAAGATGGTTGTCATGCACCAGAGCGCTTGTTATGAATCACAATATAAAACCCACTGCAGTGGGAAGCTACTTTGGGATCACTGCTGCACCGGCTGTCAGAGATATACAACGCGCGCGCTTAATATATAATATATTATATATAAATACACACACATGCATGTATACATTTCAGAAACATATGTTATGTTTGTATATTAAATATTAGGGATGCACCGATGTATCGGCCAATTTTTTATTATTTTAAAGAGATCGGCATATCAGAAATAGCATGAAAAGGGCAGATACCGATGGTTTATTAATTAACTGCATGGAAACAATGAGGTGCATGTCTGTCGCATAATCCAACGTTTTTCTCTGGGCAAAATAATTAAATACTTGCCAAAACAAAGTAAAATCGGTACAAAATATAGTTTGTCAGAGAGCATAGTACGGCCTATGCAAATGTGACGCTGACGCATCCAACCAGTGAAACGCCCGCGCTCAGCTGTAAATTCATCATAGGTAACGTTAAGTCGCAATGGCAATGCCCTGGAGTTAGTTTATCAGAGGATATGTCACGAACCGCCAATTAAGCATTAGGCCTACATTTAAGTGAAAATTAATGGCAGGTAATATGCAGATTTTTGTGTGTTTGAAACCAGCAAAAATGGCAGGATCGTGTAGAACACGGTTTCACACAAGTTCACATCACACACCTGCAGCGTTTCTGTGAACAGAGAAAATGGAATAAAACTATACACACGCACATACAACATATTTTTGCTAACTTGACATCGCAGCCTGTTCATCATCAAAATAAAATACAGTTAAAAAAACAGTTACACTGCTCAGTTTAAATAGGCCGTAGTACAGTCTGTGCCGTTCAGCGTAACCACCATGCTGTTATAGCTAGGCCTGTCACGATACCAACTTTTTGTTGTGGGATATATTGCCCCAGAAATAATTGCGATAAGCGATATTATTGTCATTTTAAAGACCATTTTATGCCACTGAATATATAATCATAATGTAACAGCATAATAATGCAAGAAGGCCTACACACTTCCAAATGACAACAAACTTTAAATTTTTAAGAATATTTAGATCATGGAAATTAAGTATCAAAATATTAGATACCTTAAAAAACCTGAATAAATAGTAAATAAACATTTTCTAACATAAAAGTGCAAAGTAGAAAAAAGAAAAATGCACAAAAAACTTTTATGGAGATTTTTCCATCTACAGATTTTCCCCTGACCTTCTTTTCTCTGTAAATTAAGGGTGCACATTATTGCTGAAAAACACAATCATTACTTAGCAGTCAGATGTCCGTATGCACAAAGGCACAGATCCCTAAACAAAGCCATATCTGCAGATTAAACTTTTTTTGTAGAAGTATTTTTAAAATTTGAACTAGCACTAGTAGCATGACTACACCACGTTATGTACGAGAAGCTTCAAAAGACACAGGCGCAAGTGTGAATATAAAAAACATGGTGACATTCATTTTTAAGTAAATATAATGGGTGATATATTGCGTCACCAAAAATGATTGAGGTCGATATAAGTCGATATACTGATTATTGCGACAGGCCTAGTTATAGTCTATGTAAAGGATGATGTTTTATGTCGAAAATGCTAGTGAAGAACAAAGCCTATAGTTTACATAATAAATAATATTTGAGCATCCAGATACGTCATGAATATGGAAACATTTGGATTCGTGCAGAATGAGAGGTAGACTTCAGTTTCGCTTTTAAATTAATTTGTTTTGGCTTACAACTTTAGAGGATTTGTTGTGGAGAGAAGGGAACTAAAATAGCCTAATTGTGTTTGTAATGTTTCTAAATATTTTGCTTTATTTTCCGGTGTTTTAGCCTACATTATTTCTGAATGATAATAATAAAATAATAACAATATATTAATAATAAAATGCGACGTACAGCCTACTCATTTAGGCTGTTTTTTCCTCTCAAAACGCTTATAGGAGTAGCGTTTTTATTCATGCTGCAAACATTTTTAAATATCTTGAAAAAATAGGCCTACTTTAATGTCTTTAAAGCGTTGACAGTATTTTCTTTTGTTTAATGCATTTGCTCAAAATCTAGAAAAGATGATGCTGTATTGGCTATGACTAAGTGCAAGATCGGCTACCAGATCAAGACCCTTGTGTTTTTTTTTCTTTTTGAGTAAAGAAAACGTTGTACTTTATTATTATTATTATTATTATTATTATTATTATAGGCAAAGAAAAAGTTTTAAAAATAACATTATTAACCAGTATTTTTTCTACTGAAACCGGTTTCGGGAAGGGTAATAATACAGAGGAACACAGGAACAGAAACGTTCAAATACCAATTCTGCTCGGAGTTGACCGATCGATTTTTTTTTTCTTCCGTTTTTAACCCCTGCTTTATGCAATTGACCAATATCAATATCGGAATCGGCCAATACTTGTTTGTTCAAATCGGTATCGGTCAAAAGAAATCCTATCGGTGCATCCCTATTAAATATATTTATATATAATATAAATTATATAAATATATACATGTAAATACATGTAAATATTTTCAAAATATATACTGTATGTGTGTGTATTTATATATACATAATAAATACACACAGTACAAACACATACATTATGTAAACAAAAACTTTTATTTTGGATGCGATTTATCACGATTAATCGTTTGACAGCACTAACATACATACATACATACATATATATACAGTGGGTACGGAAAGTATTCAGACCCCCTTCAATTTTTCACTCTTTGTTATATTGCA